TAGAATGATTCATTGCCTGCATGAATTTTCACTTTGCAAATCTAACAATTTGAAATAAATAATAAAATAAAAAGTTCATAAATTTATCATCTCGTCACGTGACCGGGGCAAGATGACTTATTATGCAATTTTTACCTCCAATTTTATAAAATTTCAAAACTACCAATAAATTTAACTAAAGTAACAAAAAGTATATACAAATTGCAAAGAACTACTTCAAAGAAGTTAAACTTGAAGGACACCATCCATTATGAGAAATCGAAAGTGAGGAATTTTTTTTTAAGCGCAAAAAGTAAACTTATGTGTAAAAATTGCGTTAATAAAATTTCAAAAAACCAATTGGTGTTTTAAAATATAAGACGCAAATACAGTTTTGTTTTCATCAAATTTTAAGATTTTTTGTTGAGTTGTTATATGAAAACCCTTGCCCCATTCGCCATGTTGCCTCGCTTTCCCCTATCATTTAATTTCGTACTTTGCGTAAATAAATCTTTCCCATCTGCTATACCTCAAGCCCTCTACATATATTTATATATATATATATATATATATATATATATATATATATTGAGCCAAACCAATACCGGTATTTCGGGTTTTGAAAAAGTCCGGTACTACCGGTATACCGGTATCGGTACTACCGGTATTGGAAGCACTAATATATTATATATATATATATATATATATATATATATATATATATATATATATATATATATATATATATATATATATATATATACACATCAGGAAACTAAAAATTAGATAAGTGTTTTTACTAATTTATTATTGCTATGTTCTTTAAGAACATTGAGCACTCTATTTGTAGAATACACTTACATAATTTATATATATATATATATATATATATATATATATATATATATATATATATATATATATATTATATCATAGTCATAGTATTTAACTAGTCTGGAAATGCGGGCCGTTGTCTATGGATTTCGTAAAATAACTTGAACTTTATGGGGTGACCGGACTGAGAGCGCATCAAATAGGGTAGGGTGGGGTAATCTGAGCCTATTTTTACCTATTTTTGACTTTGAGTTAAAAAAAAGCAATGTTTAGCTATCAGCTTTATGACAAAAGATGCCTTAAAATTATGATTTTTTAATTTTTTAAAATAATTTTTTATTTTTATTTTTTATTTGCATTTACTCCCAACAAGGCTGCAAGCAACCACTATTAAGTTGGGAGTTACTAGGAAAAAAAGAACAGAGTTATAGAGCAAGGAAACGGTTGACAGAAGACTTGAAAAGTTGAAGGTTGTATGAGTCAGGAAAACATGAAGATGGGAGAGAGTTCCAAAGGATTGAAGTGCGGGGAAAAAAACTAGATAAATAAAAGTTTTTAGAGCATGCAGGGACAGATACAGTAAACGAATGAGACTTAGCTGAAAGACGAGTAAAACGAGAATGAATTTTAGTTGATGGAACTAGAGATGATAACTCCTTTGAGCAGTGACCATGATAGTATTTGTAGAAAAGAAAAAGAGATGCAACCTTATGACGATGGAAAAGAGGTTCAAGCTTAGCAGATAGTCCAGGTCCAACAACATTTACAATGTGTTTTTGGACCTTGTCAAGAAGAGAAAGTGAATTGTTAGAAGAACCAGCCCAAATATGACAACAGTATTCCATGCAGGGGCGAATAAGAGATTTGTAGAGGTAGAGAATGGAATCAGAAGTAAGGAAATGGCGAGCATGATAAAGAGAAGCAACCTTAGCAGAAGTTAATTTAGCAATCGATTGTATATATGGTTTCCATGAAAGGTCAGTAGTAAGCGATAATCCTAGAAGACGTAAAGAGGAGGACTCAGTAAGAGGATTGCCATTCATTAATATAGGAATGTTGACCATATTACGGTAGTTGTTTGCAGTAAGCAACTGGGTTTTGTTAGAGTTGAAATTCACAAGCCACTGTGAACCCCAATCTATTACTGAAGTGAGATCGGATTCAAGATCAGCTGCTTGTTCTAGGCGATCAAAAAGAGAAGACTTTTTGTCAAGACAGGAGTATAAAGTTGAGTCATTAGCAAAAAGAGCTACTTTACATGAAAGGTTGTCAGGAAGATCGTTTATGTAGATAAGAAACAAAACAGGACCCATGATGGAACCTTGGGGAACCCCAGAAGTTACTGGAAATAAAGAAGAGTGTTGGCCTTCAAGGATGACTTTAATAAACCAGTTAGAAAGAAATGATTTGATAATCTCAAAAACTTTCCCAGAAACACCATATGAAGCAAGCTTATGGAGAAGACCAGCATGCCAAACTTTGTCGAAAGCTTTAGATATGTCAATAGCCTTAGCCTCACCGCCTCCATCTAATGCATGATAAAATCTTTCAGTTACAGCAGTTAGCAATTATTACTTAAAATATATAGTACTTAAAATATTATCAATAGGTCTGGGGAGCCTTTATTTGAAGATGTCTATATTGACACACATGATGTGAAGATGCCTATACAGACCCACATGATTTGAAGATGTCTATATAGACCCACGGAACTGCTAACATTTTATATAGACCCACATTACCCCACATAGTGGGGTAATGTGGGTCTACATAAAATGTTTGCAGTTCCGGTTTAAAATACTGCTACTTATGAAAAATCTGACATACATTCTATATGTCAGTACCTTTATTATAGTATATATACAAGGTTTTAATTAAAAAGTAGTCTTAAGATATTTTTATTTAAAAAGAAAGTGCATATATACACAGCACAACAATAAAAATTAAAAACTCAGAGAAATAAAAATAAAAAAATGGTGATTAAAAACAGAAATAATGTTTTAATAATGTGTTTTTTAAAAAATAACTATTTTTTTGATCACTGCACTTTTCTGGTCACATTCGTGCAATTTTGGGCACTTCTTAGATCTTTTTGGGTATTTCTTTACTACTTCAGTAGAGGTAATAGTTTTTTTTGTACATTTTTTTTTTTAACTTGGTTTTTTCCTCTTTAACTTTTTGTTCCTCAAGTAACCGTCATTTGACTTTCTCATTCGTAAGGAGTTCTCCACATTTTGTTTAAATTCTCTTCCTTTTTTGTTTTTGTTCTATTATTGCTGCTGTTTCTGCAGAAACATTAGGAAATATGATTGACCTTAAAGTTTCTTGCATAGCTGATTTTGGTGTTTGTAATCTTGGAGATTTAGGACAATAATGTTCAGGTGATTGATTGAGAAAGTCAATACCTGTTATTCTTCTTTCCATCTTTTCTTTACTTAATGGTGAGATACCTGTACCGCGAAATCCTGCTATAGAATTTGCTGGAGAGAGTATCTGACACAGTTGTTTCAATAATCCTGTAAAAGCTGCCTTAACAATATTTTTGCGTTGTGTTTCTCTTAAAAACCGCTTTAAAATTTTTCTCCAGTCATTCTTTAATGGTCCAAAGACAGCCACATCTAATGGCTGTAATGCGCCTGAGCAATACGGTGGAAGACAAACAATTTGGATATGGTTGTCTTTAAAATTATTTAATTCAAGTAAAATACCAGTTTTCAAATAGAAAGTCTTGCATCCATCCAATTGTTGTTGCCTCAAAAGCACATCCTGGTGGTCCATTTTCTATCCATTTAGAATACAGATAGCCTTCTCCCTTAAAAACAACAAATGGTGGAAGATATCTTCAATCTGCAGACACACAGAACAGCACAGAATAGATAGCTTTACCAGAAGAAGCAGCCAGTTATAAGCATCTTTGCTTTTTGGATGTACAAATACTCTCTTTGTTAAGTGATTTGTGGAGAGTTGTTTATACTACTTGGTACAATGTTATTATTATGGATTACATCATATAAAATAATAAAAAAATTATCTACAACTTCACGTGTTAAACTTTTAGCTCTTGAAAATTTCAGATTTACGTAATCGAAGTTTATCAACATGACGCTACTTAAAAGAAATTATCCAATCTTTCCCAGGAATTCCATTTTTAAAAGGAGTTTTCATCCTCATGGCTGTGCAAAATTGAGCAATTAAATTACAAATGTCAAGAGAATCTAATAGAAGACCATATCTTTGACAATACTGAGCTGCAGCTACAATCATAGTTTCATCATTATCACTCAGCACACTTTTTCGACATTCACGTTTGTTTGCTTTAGAATCTTGTTGTTTTATTCTTTGTCTCAATGTTTCTTTAGGAACAGAACATTCTTTAGCAGCATGATAAGTAGTCTTTTTTTCTTCACATACTTACATAATTGCTCTTTCCGAACTATCAGCATTGTACTTGGGTTTTATTTTTTTATTGTAACATCTTGGCATTTTTTAAATACTTTCTAAACAAATATTTATGAAAAATCTGTTAAATTTTTAAAGAAATAAATTAGCATTAATCATTACATATCAAAAAAAATAATATTTTAACACCAAATAGGTCTTATATAATATTTTATTTGACCTAGGTGAATATATTGTTTCATACAAATAAATACATTTTATTTGTATGAAACGATATATTCAAATACAAAACGTTTCTTAATATAAATTTCAAAGATATAAACTTCAAACATAAATGTTTAATAGCTCTAAAGAATTATTAACACGAAAATAGTTAGGTCTGATGAAACTAATAGGTTTATAATGTTACTAACAACAATTTCGATAATATAATTACATTTTATAATATTTTACACACATAGACCCACTATATATATTATATTTCAAATTTTCAACAAACCATGTGCGTTAGTGTCTTAAAGATATACTATCCTTAAATTATAGTAATTTAACTTTCAAAATAAACTATTATGCTTGCTATTTTTGTTACATTTAAAAAAAAATACTTTTAATCAGCTTGTTAAAATTTTGTTTGGGAATTTAGTTTCTACAAAGTGAATAAAATTAACATATAAAAAGTAATTACTTTTTGTTTATTCATTTTTTTTTTGTATTAGACTTGTATTAAATATAAGTTTTGTATTAAACTCTATTAAGTATAAATTTTTCTGATGATTCTTTTTAAATAGTGAAAAACAACATATGGACGGCATCTTTAATGCTATTAAAACTGGAATTTTGTTTCAAAAGATAATTGCTGATGAATGGGTTAAGGTAATTTCTGACAACTTTTTAATTAACGGTAAAAAGAATTATAAAAATTATATTATATAATTACATTATTTGAATCATGTATTTATTAACTATTTACATTAAATATGTTAGGTTAATTAGATGTTATTAATAGTTAATAAATAATAGTTATTAGTTATTTTGTTACTTGCAGGTTCTGGAATCAATATCAAACAGCAAAGAGCAGAAGGTTAAATATTTTTTCTAAACTTAATTTTGAGGCAAATAAGGGAATTGTAATATATTTGAATTTCATTGGTAATACAAGATGTATTTTAGATGAATTTTGTAGTTGAATCTTTTTTTTTTATTTAAGGTTTTAGATGTTTTTGTATTATTGGTGCTTGTTAGAAACAAAACAAAGAGTAAAGTCATTGAAACACTTATGCGTGCAAAGATTAAAAAAAAAATTTTCACTGAGTGCACTATTGGGCTTGCATTTAAAGAATATTATAATGTAATATATTTTTAAATAATATATTTATATTTTTATATAGTATTAATTCTCTTTTTAATTGTTAGTTTAATTTTTGATAGATGTTATTAAATGTTTTTTAAAAATATTGTTACTATTTGGAGCAATTATTTGAATTTAGCAATTTTTTAATAGACAATTATAAGATTTGGTCATTATGCTGGTTTTTCTTTTTAAAAAGCTTAGCATTGGTCTTTCTTTTAAAAAGCATATCATTATGACTTAAATTTGGTTGGATAAACTTGTTAATGACATGGTGTAGTCAATTTTTAATAATTGTTCTTTTTTTTTAAATGCTGTTCATTAATTTTTATAACATTTTCAATACTGCTCATTATGCTTTCATAATATTTTCAATAATGTTCATTACATTTTTGTAATATTTCTAATACTGTTTCTTATATTTTTTTATAAAGTTTTTAATAATGTTCATTAACTTTTTTATAAAGTTTTCAATACTGTTTATTACATTTTTACATAATTTTCAATAATGTTCATTAAAAACATAAGTGTTTACTTAAAAAAGTTCTGTTGGTTCATTGAAAAATGATATACTTTTATGTTTAGTAAAAATGATATACTTTTATGTTTAGTAAAAATTATATACTTTTATGTTTAGTAAATGACACAGAAAACACCTACATTCAAAAACAGTTGCTTTTAAAAACACATGCATTCAAAAACAGCTACATTCATAAACACATTCAAACTAAATCAAATTGGATACTATTACTATTATTGCTATATACTGCTATTCAATTTAATTTAGATTTAAGGCATTTTTGTTATCTAATTACTTGAAATTAATTAGTGATAAATATCTTATAGATTTTTAGTGAATATCTGCACGAAATCCTGTACTTGGCGGAATCATTTATTAGATCACCTGAAGCTATTGTTTCAAGTTATGGAACCTGTCTGTACACTATGTCTTTTATATGTTTTAATAATGAGTCTAAGCAGGTGAGTTGATATAAATAAAACTGTTTATATATATATATATATATATATATATATATATATATATATATATATATATATATATATATATATATATATATATATATATATATATATATATATATATATATATATATATATATATATATATACATACATACAAAATTTAGAAACAGGGTTAATTGAAAAACATAAAATTGACAGAAAAACAAAATGTCAAATGTCAATATTTAAAAGCGAGGAAAAATGAATGCATCATTTTACTTTTTATTAGGAATTCAAATAAAAAATTTTCCTGTTTTATTATAATTATTTTATATAGAATTAATGAAACCTTCATATGTTTCAGTTTTTATTTAATTTATTTACTATTTAAATGAAAGGTTGTTTTAGGATTTTATTATAAAATTGGTTTTGCTGTTTTTATTTTAATTTATTAAGGATTTAAATAATGCTCACTTTATTGTTGGTTTTTCGTAAATATTATTTAGACGTTAATTAAAGCATTTGTGTTTTTGTTTTTATTTTAATTAGAATTTAAATAAAACCTTTGTTTTTATTTTAATTATTTATTTTGAATTTGAATAAAGCTTTATTTTTTCTGTTTTTATTTTAATTTTTGCGTTTACTATTTAAATAAAATTGTTGCTTTTCCATTGGTTTTTTGTAATATATCTATTTTTTTAGGTAAAAAAAATTTTCTTTTTTTTCTTTTAATTCTTTTATTTAGAATTTTGATTAAAACCTTAGTTTTGTTGTTGAGTTTTTTAAATTACATTGTTCACAATTTGAATAAAAAGTTTTTTTGTTGTTGAGTTTTTTAAATTTTTTTGTTCAGAATTTGAATTTAAAGTTTTTATTTTTATTTTAATTAGTTAATAAGAATCTAAATAGCACGTTTTATTAATATCTATAAATAATTTATTGCGTTTTAAATTATTTTATATAGAATTGAAATAAAACCTTCATTATGCTGCTTTTAATTTATTTGAAATAGAAGTAATAAAATTCTGAGGTCAACAAAATATTGCTGACCTCAGACTCTGTCAGGTCACCATTGCAAATTGAGGACTCTAATTCGAAGGGCTGCATACATATATTTATAGATATGTATATGTAAATTAGGGTTATGACTTTTTAACTTTTTATAAAATAATTAATTTTTTGTGTTATAAATTGTTAAACTTTTGTTCAAAAGATATTTAATTTGGTTTTACTCTAACTAATTTTCAAAAAAGGTCACCCACAATACAAAAGTTTTAATATGGTATATGGCAGTAGCATTATGACTTTCTGAAGCCTAAAATTTTATTGAACCTTATGGAAGTTTCTAGAATTTTCCGGACTGTTTTGGATGTTTTTAGAAATCTCCAAAGTTTTCTAAAACTTTCTGGAGTCTTTTGGAAGTGTATGGAAGTTAGCAAGATTTAGACTATATAAGCTGTCTGATTGAGGAATCAATTATCGCTAAGCTTTTTAAAGTATTTTCTATTTCTTTTTTAAAATACAAGTCATTTATTTCAAATAATTGATTTAAAGAAATTTTTATTTGTTAAAAAATAAAAACTTTTAACTGGAACACAATTTTTTTTAGATTAAGCAATGTTTATAGTTTGTAATACAATGTTGTTGTTCATTTGATTTCGCAGTTTTTCTATTTAAAACATTTTGCAGGGTTTTTTTAACCATAACAGAACGTAAATCACAAATGGATGCTGTTATATTTAATAACATTTTTTAAATCTGATGCTGAAAGATCAAAAGCTTATAGAGCAAGAAACAGAAAGCCTTGAAAAAGAAAGAGAATTTATCAAAGGAGACGAAAACGTCATGCGAAGGTTTGCAACCAATAGATTAAGAATAAAAAAAATTAAGTTCAATACTAATATCAGTTTAAATTTTATGCCTGATAATTCTTATAACTGCAAATTGTCAATGAGAAAGGCATTAAACAAGTATTTAATTATATTATAAACTCGAATCAGTTGATTGTTGCAAGTACCTAACAAACAAAAATCTTAATTGGGATGATCATTGGATAAAAGTTCATAATACTATTAAGTTAGTACCCTACTTATTAAAATGCATTATAAAAATTGGTCATATTCAATTAAACCTACTTCAAATTTATAGATCCTACGCAATCTCACATTCTGTACAGCACCCCTATACTCTCGTCTTGCAGTATTGCAGCAAAAAAAGAGCTACAACTATTCCACAAACAATCGCTCAAAGTTATTGAGATCGATGCCATAAACTCAGGCCAATTCAATATCTGTCACAATATCGAAGAGCTTATTGATAAACAAATATTAAATTATTTAAGAAAATCCTATCTTACCCAACACATGCAATAACTTCAAAACTCAAACCACAGGCAGAAACCCTGACAGATTATTATATAAAACCAATATTGCTAACACTACATTGTATCAAAAAACGTTTGATCAGAAATATTTATGTATAGTTTGAGATGATATCGAAAACCTATTTTTAACCTAAGAGAATAATACTCCAGATATATTATGAAGAAAAAATTGTAAAATTCATTTATATGATATGCAATTTTAATACTTATAAATAAATAAATATTTTTTAATACTATTGCTCTTGCATAATTTTGGTTCATTTATATTAAATAAAATTTTTAGGACAAAACGGGCTCTTCCAAAGTCTCCAAAATATGAAGGGAGCTATTGTAGACAAGTTAGATGCTGAATATGGTCTATTCAATTAGGTGTTGAATATGGTCTAGCAGTTATAAGTTATAGCAGCAAGGTGCTGAATATGGCTTAAAGAAACCATGGATGTTCACTTCACATCAGATGAAATGAAAAGTAAAAGCATTTTATAAAAGAGAAGATAGATCAATAATTTCTCCTGGAATAAAAGATTGTATAAAAATTGATGAAGAAAAAATGCAAAGACGCTATTTAGTTATGAATTTAAAGGAATTGCATGAACTGTATTGTGATGAGAGTACTAGCAAAACATTTAAATTAACTAAGTTTTGTGAACTAAGGCCTAAAAATTCTTACCTGCAAAGACACACCACTTGAATCATGTGGTTGTTTTTATCATAGTAATTTTACTTAGTTGTGTGCTGCTTTGCCAAGCAAAATACATTTTCCATTGTATTGAAATAAACGGTTAGAAAATTGTGTATTGTGTAAGCTACTTATGTCCCAATGTTAGATAATGAAGTGTTTCTTGTGTAGTGATCGTAAATTATTTAAAGTTTTTTTACCTGTAAATGAAGACATAATCATGAAGATACATTAATTGCGTATAGTTAATGGACAAATGTTGATCGTTGCTGTGTACTCAGTCAACATAGAAAATACATAACAGATGTTTTAAACATATCTGCACCTATTTACCAGCGTTTATTGAACACCAGTTTGAGCAATACAGTAGTCAAAAAAAAAATCTCCAACCAGACTAAATTTTGATACGCTTTGACTATTTACAAAACTATGCATCAGGATGGTATTCAGGCTGCTTATTGGTTGCAGTCAACTATTATTTTATTCACGGTTGTAATCTATCATTAACAATTAGAGTCAAAATCAGTTGTAATAATTTCAGATGATAATGATAAATTAAAACGTGCCACTACTACTTACTTAAGTAAAATATTTGACCTCTATTGCATTGATTATATTTAAAAAATTATATTATGGGGTGATGGTCCTTGCACTCAATTCAAAAATATAGATACATGGCCAAGTTTACTGCGTGAAAATCATTTTCAAAGTATAGAGTGGAATTTTTTTCTACCTCTCACGGTAAAGGAGCAGTTGATGGTGTTGGAGAATCATTGAAGCAAATTGTTTAGAATAGTGTAAAATCTTGTAAACTGGTTGTCTTAATGCTAAAGATTTCTTAGCATCAAATAAGTGCAAAGCTTATGTCAGGCTGATTAACACAGATGATATTAATCTAAGGAAGGCCTTTACAGCTAATCAAATAGAAAAAGTGAAAGCCATAAAAAAGTATTACAAAAATGCATTTTTGGCAAGTAAAAAGTAGAAATTTTTGATTTTAAAATGGTCTAATATTTTTAACCTGTTAAAAAAATTTTAAAATTATTATTTTTACTTTTCTCAAAGAACTATTTTTTAAATCTATGTTTGTTATTTTTTTAAATCTATGTTAGGAACACGGGAGCATTATGGACATCAACAATTAAATTAAATTAAAAATTTAATTAAGTTATAAACTATAAATAAATATAGCATCCAGCCTGTGATTGCTTTTTCCAAAAAAAATGAACCCAGTATCCGAAAGCCATAATTGAGAACTTTGATAATGTTGTAAAGTGCTTTTTTAAACATAATTTACATGGTTTTTATTTAATTTACATCATTGATTGTGTCATTTATTATTTGTTATTTTTTAATACTGTATTTTTCCTTATGACCATATGACAACAACAACAAAAATAAAACAAAAATGCTTGTAAAAATTCAAGTAAAAACTATGAAACTCAGCATATAAAAATATCAATGTGTGCTAAATACATGTAGCAATGATTTTTTTTACCATGTCATTTGCTGCATTAAGTCTGACAAAGTTGTTTTGTTCAGAACAACTTTAGCATACTAAATTATATGATAGTCTTTCACATTTCTGGTTTCTGTTTTTGGTTCTTTTTTAATTGCTTAATGAGTGTCAAGTTTTATGATCATCACTCTTGCAGAATCGCTCATATATAGCTATCTGGGGCAGTACATACATTGACTGACTAAATATGGAGAACATGCAAGAGAGTAGTGTACATCGACTTTTTATTTTCTCACAAATTGCCTTCACTGTTTAAATTTCCATGACACGACCATAATTCAAGGCTAGAGTATTGGATTTAGTAATTGTTATTCCTAATGTTTTTTAGTTACAAGTTGTGGTACCCACCAACAGTTTTTTGAAATTTTCCATATTTATTAATACTTTGTGTACTTTAGATGGCGTTTATCCTTTTATTTTAATTGTTTTCCTCTTCTGGCATATTTACCTTTAAACAGAAAAATTCAGTGCTTAATGAAGAGGTAAAAATTACATTGTCAATGATTGGTCAACTGATGGTTTTAAAATTTGCAGTAAATAGAATGCTTATTGGCACACTTTTCTCAATAGCAGCAACAACATCATTGATATTTAATAATGAAACTTTATTATTTGATAAAGTATTATATTTCTGTTTTTGATGTTGTTACAAATATTTGCTACTTTTTACTTCTTTAAACAAAATCTTTCAGACTTTTGGTCTTTGATTTTAGGTTTTATTTCTACTTTTTCTTTTCTTGTTAGCCATTCATTAATTTAAAGTACTTTTACATGAAGGGTATGTTAAACTGTTTCTTGCAGCAGCTTTTACTATATACATGTATTTCTGCAGCAACATGGTTACAGTTTTTACCTATGCCATCGCATATATATATATATATATATATACTATTGTTGAAAAAACATTTTGATAACATTTAACAGTAACAATATTAAAAAAAGGTAAAACAAGACCCCCCCCCCCCCAAAAAAAAAAAAAAAAAAAAAATTTGCTAAAACTGCTAGCATTTTTGCTATTTTGCATGCCCTCTTCTTCAAATATTTGACCCTTTCTATGCTTCCTTATATCTAAATATTTGACCCGTTTTTGTGTTTGCTTCTATCCAAATTGTTGACCCTTTCTATACTTCATTCTATCTAAATAGTTTAACATTTTCTCCTCATCCAGATAAATGAATTTTCCTTTTTTTAGTTATAAAATTTCAAAAGTTAAACAATAACTTATTTAAAAGGTTTTAGGAATTTTTAGGGTAACTATAATTGGGATAGGCTTTATATATATGCAGGAATTATTATGGAAGTGAATAAATATTGTTTTCAGAAAATTGTTGAAGCTTTGGTCACGCATATTACTGGGAACACTCACAGTGCAGAGCTAGAGGTTGCTATGTCCATACTTTGCTATCTAATGTCTGAACATTACGAAAAGATTTGCTCATTTGCAACTACAATCAAGGTAATATGTTCAAAATACATAAATACAAAAAAAAGTATAACAAGGATTATACTGTAATTTACTTTAGTTAAATGCATAACAGAAATTACTAATATTTTTTATTATTTAGGGAATCATTTAAATCTGTTTGTTATAATTTTAGAAAATTGGAGAGTTTATTGAAAATATATCTGTGTCACAAATGAGAAAATTGTTTTCAGTATTAGCAAAATTATCTTATGGATCTGTTAATTGTGATTCAAATGATGATCTTCAAGAAATGATTTTCAGAAATCTATCAAGTTCAATATGGCGTCTTAAAAGAATTGGTATAATTGGAGCTATGATGGTTGTTGCAACTCTTGGTAAAATTGCAAACGATTTCACAAACGAGAAGAGTACACTAAATGAAAGTAGATTACTGGAAAAAAATACATTTAATAATAAAAAGGTTTAGACTTTGTCTTTATTCCTATTTTTATGTTTTTAATATTATATTTTTATTATTTTAGTTAGTACAAGTTGTTGTTTTTATATCTTATACATGGAATATGATTTTTTGTATAATTATGATGATGATTATGATAATTATAATGATTATTGGGTGATGCGGAAGATCGGAGAAATCTGAGTTTAATTATTTGAGCATATTATTTTGTTTTTGTGGTTTTATGTGAAGGTATAAACATTCTATAAAATATAAACTTTATTATTTGAAATGCAATTATTTAAAATGAGGTTAAATGCAACTGAACGAGAATCTTTTCGAAAGCCACATAAAATGATTTTTTTGTAAATCTATAAAAAATATAAAGAAAAAGAAATCGTAAATCATTTTGAAAAGGAAGGATTAGCTCAAAGTACAATATATGATAACCTAAAAAAACTGTTTAATCCTTTTCTGATAGAAAGCACCCTGGTCATCCAACATCCTGGACTAGAGAAAAGAAAACCAAATTAACGAAACTTGTCAACAATTGAAATGGGGTCAATCAGAGAAAAATAGGTATTAAATTCAGTGTAAATCAATCAACAATAGGTCATTAGAAAAAATTTATATTAAATATAGAAAATGTGAAAAGACTCTAAAATACATTATAGAACAACAATTAAAGGCTAGTTAACCAACTCTATAACACAAAATTGCTACTGGTCATCGGTGGCAAAAAATGCTTTTGTTTTGCAGGGGACAACATGCCTGGAAATTCTGGATACTACACAAACAACAACAAAAACATGCTCAGAAAGTGTTCCTTTTATAGGAAAAGAGAAATTTCCAAAAAATTATTAATGTGGATAGCCATATCTGACCGTGGTATGTTCGAGCCATTGTTTTGCTCTTCCAAGGCTGTAGTAATTAATTCATCAATCTATATTGATGAATGTTTAGAAAAACAACTTCTTCCGTTTATTTACAAGTTTCATGGAGACTTAAATTATTTATTTTAGCCAGATTTAACAAGTTCTCATTATTCTAAAGGTACTCTAAATTGGATATACCAATATGTCTATTATGTTGATAAAGAATCCAATCCCCCAAATGTGCTTCAAGCATGACCAATTGAAAACTTTTGGGCACATTTGGCATAGGTTTACAAAGGAGATTGGCAAGTTTTAATTGATCAAATTGAATAAAAACTACAAGAAATTGATTAAATTTTTTACAGTTTCTTATGAAAGGCGTCAGAGCAAAATTGGCATCAATTGCAGATGGTGGTGCTTTTTCTTTCAAAAATTAACTTATTTTTATTAAAAGTTCAATACTTAATTTAAAAAATTGTAATAATAGTTATTTTTTCATTTTTAAATATGTTATTGAAATTTTTATTTTGCCCGATAACTTATACATCACCCATTATGAATATTTTTTAAATAAGTCAAGCTTTTAATATATTTTATTTATTTTTTAAGGCAGTTCAATATTTAACAGTAGCTCAAGAAAGTGTTAAGGCCCAACCTGAAGCTTTGTCTTTATTTTATGATGAACTTGCAAGTATCGTCTTGAGAGAAAAACTGGATCCAAAATTGTTGGTAGAATCAATTTTTAAACTTTATTGTTCAGTAATTTGTAATATTTTTTATATTTAAAATAATAAAGAAAGCTTTTATTATAGTGAATAATAAATTAAATAAAACTATATAAGAAAAAAAAATTTAGGCTTGGATATCTGAGAAGACTTTTATAGATTTTCAGAATGAATTCCTATTGGATGTTGAATTTATAAAAACAAGGTATGTTTATAAATAAGAGATTTTTTTAAACTTGTTGTTTGAAATACTTTTAACTTGTTTTAATATTTAAAAAACTGGTGCACAAGTGTCAAATTTTTGTCTACAGAGCTTTTGTAATCGATGTAATTCTCATCATTTCTAAAATAAATCTGTAGTAATAGTGATGTGTGTCCCACCTCTATGGTGTAGTGATGTAGGTCCCACCTCTCTGGTATAGTAGTGTAGGTCCCACCTTACCAATGGGGATACAGCAATGGATCTTATTTACTTGTATTGACCAAGTGAGATTTAATATAAAAGCAATCTTTAAACATAAAAGCAACCTTTAATCATAGAAGCAATATTTTAATATAAAAGCAACCTTTAAACATAAAAGCAACCTTTAAACATAAAAGCAACTTTTAAACATAAAAGCAACCTTTAAACATAAAAGCAATCTTTAAACATAAAAGCAACCTTTTAAATTATAACTTTGATGATAACTTTTTCAATTAAAATTTAATGAAAATGATCAGGAAATGTACAAATATAGTTATGGGTTTTGAAAGAGGTTAGGGTAAAGTGACCGATTAATGGCCACAAATTTCTTAAAGATTGCTGTGAAAGATGCCTTAATGTAACAGTAATTTTTTTTTTTACTGTTTTATTAATGACTAACGCCTGCACCATATAAGAACTTTTTTCAGTTTTAAAACATGCTTAATTCAGAGAAAAATCTATTTAAACAGAAATTTTGTGTACCAATTAATGGCTGGGTAGACCAAATAGTAACCAGTAAAATAGGAAACGACGCCTATTATGAGCCACTTATATTACCTATAATTGACATATCTAAAAATGCTTATATATTGAAAAGTATTTTCCCGACAGACAATTAAAGCTTAATAATGAACTTAGATCTACTTTATAGTACTATAAACTAAGATTTTTTTTTTTTTAAGTAAAATGTTCTATACTTTGCTTAAAAATATTATTTTGGTTGATAATAAACAAAAAGATTTTACTTATGTAAAAAATAATTAAAAACAGTATTTATTTGATATTCAAATTAAGACAGTCTAACAAAAAAAAATATTTTAATTAACTCTATTGAACAAATTTTAAATAAAAAATTGCTTGAGCACATAGCTGTTACAAGATTTCAACTTGCATATAATAATGCAATTTTTTAATATATGGACAATAACTTTACAATAATATATTGAGGAGTTTTGATAATGAACTATTGATAATCTATTAAATGAGCTCACTAATATTATTATCGATGAATAGAGTTGTTTTCTCTGGTACTTTAGTAAAGATTTTTTGATTATCTGAAGAGATATTGACATTCAATATCTTTGGAATTAAACTGACTTTTATCTTTTTAACTGAATTAAACTGACTTTTATCTTTTTAACTGAATTAAACTGACTTTTATCTTTTTAACTGAATTAAACTGACTTTTATCTTTTTAACTGAATTAAACTGACTTTTATCTTTTTAACTGAATTAAACTGACTTTTATCTTTTTTAACTGAATTAAACTGACTTTTATCTTTTTAACTGAATTAGCTCCTTTAGATAACTTTTGAATCTCTTTTTCTTGTTTTTGTTTATTTTTATTTTGAATGTCTTTTTCTTATTTTTGCTGTGCTTTCTTTTTCTTTTTTCTTTTTTTCTTTTTTCTCTTCAGCTGCTGCGGTTTTCTCTTTTTTTATTACCTCATTGTTCAATTTAGATTGCATTGCTTCTTGAGAAGTTAATACAAAATATTTTTGAACTTTTTTTTGATTTTCTTTCGTCTTGGTAGCATATATCTTTGGATAAGACAAAATATCATTGTCACTATCATTAGCTGAATGCTTTGTACACAAAATAATTGGAGTTGGACTAGACTGAACAATAGCTTCAACTGGCATCTTATTATAGTGATTTCATTAGAAAAAAAACTAGACTGTCTAGTTGTTTCATTTGGAACAGGAATTGGTTGAACATTGGTTTCATTTAAAGTTGGAATAGGAACTATGGATTCATTTGACATTAGAACAGAGTTATCTGTTTCTAAAATGGCATTTGTACATGAAATCTGTTTTAGTTTGAATTCTTTATATAATTTACACAAAGGATCTGGGATGTCATAGCCATTTTAAATACAGAAGTTAAAAGTTGTAAACTGCTCATGAGTTAAATTGGTATCCCATATCAAAGAAGCTCTTTTACATAAAGAAGTGTTTTCAGGTTTATTTGTGCCTAATTCTACTTCAAAATCAACTTCTTCTATTGCATTTTCGAATCTTGTTATTCTAGTTTCAGTTTTGATTGGGTGCAGACTTGATTCAAGCAGATCATTCTTGTCAAGTAGTTGTTCTATGGAATAGACAGAATTAGGTAAGTAGGCTGTACTTGGAACAGCAGATGGATTATATGGATAAATGCCACAAACCCTGAAATAATATTGTCAGCTGTGAGGGCTTGGTCCCAGGCTTTCTTAAAAAGCCCACAAAAATTTGACTTGTCAACACTAACTCCAGGATATACATTCATTAATTCCTGACATGTTTGATTATAATATGTTTTAAGAGGACCAAATACTGTGCGATCTAGAGGCTGGAGCCAATGGGAACAATGTACTGGCATTTCCACAATGTGAATGTTATTTTTTATTGCAACAGACAATAACTCAACAGAGTTATGAGAATCATGACCATCAACTATGAAAATTTGTGGTCTATTTCTACCTATATTAGGCAAGAAAGTATTAGTGAACCAAAGTAATGCAATTCCTTGTTTTGTCCAACCTGTCTCACTAAAACTCCAATTTGAGCCTGATGGTGCATGTGCAGTATTAAAAGAATAAAGAGACCTTGTCGTTTTACCTTTTGTTATAAAATGTGGAGGTACTAAACCACCTGTAGCATTTACAGCAGCAATAATGGTTATAGTTTCACGTTTTCCAGATGTTTGAGATTAAAGGTGTTTTGTATCTCTTTTTTAAATTATTTTTGGAGGTTTAAAATCCATTTGTAGCCCAGACTCATCGATATTCCAAATCAATGAAGGTTTTAAAAGGGCATGTGTGTTCCTCAAAACTTATAACAAAACAATAGAAATATTTATCTACTTTTGGTACAGGCATGCATTGATGGCGAACTGATGAAGTACCTTCAGGCTTTCACAAAACTAAACTTGTATGTCCCTGATTAAATAAATGCCACTATTTTTCTGAAGGAGTTGAACGTTTAAACTTTAAATTGTGTTTTATGGCTAAATCTGAAACATATTTAAAAAAAAAATTTTTTTCTGAATCTAAATCCAAGGGTAGCTCTTGTTGCTGCATATTCAACTAATTTTAACTCTAAATTTGTAGATAATATTGGACTAGGTCCAGGTTTGATGCCAAGAACTGAATCTCCCTTAAGATATTTACCAAGGGTTGACCAAGGAATACTAAATTGTACTGCAGCTTCTCGTTGCAACACTAAGTTATTTTGAACAGCTGCAATTGCATTTTTCATGTTGTTGTTAGACCACTGAAATCTCTTTACTTTTGTCACATTCTGGTTCAACTTCGAATTAAAATTAGAGGCGGTTTCTTATTAATTTTCTTTTCTTTTTTTGTGTTTTTGTGATTTGTGTTGTTTTTTCTATAATTACTCAAATTAACTAAAAGATAGAGTATACTAACTACAATAGTTGACTTTACATTCATCTAATCTAAATATATTATTATAACATACACAGATATCACAAACAAATACATATACAAGCATAAAATATGCTTATCATACATATCTATGCATCAATATAACAGACATAGCATACATAAGTAAAAATCGTTATATACAACATAACTAGTTATGATTTAGGTAGAACTTCATTGTTAAGGTTAGTGAGAATTAAATTAAATATACAAAAAACATATTACATAATACATATATACTATGTTATATTTTATACTACATACTCACATAGTATGTTTATATATATTATGAAATTTTTAAGTATGTATTTTTAAAATTATTATGTAGCTTGTAAATATTAAAAATAATAATTTGTTTTTTTGGATATGAATTATATAATAAATATCCAAACCATTATTTTATATTTTTACAAACATGTAATATAAAATTACATAATTACAAACATTACAAACACAATAAACTCTTATAATAAACACTGTAAAGTAAAAACTAATTATACTTAGTAATTATACACGATAAAGGAAATAATTATTATAGGTAATATAAGTACAATAGTTTAATTGTGTAAATAATATTGTGTATTAACTATAATATATTTTATAATATAGTCTATATACATACATATAATGTATATATATATATATATATATATATATATATATATATATATATATATATATATATATATATATATATATATATATATATATATATATATATATATATATATATATATATATATACATATATATATATATGTATATATATATATATATATATATATATATTATATATATATATATATATATATATATATATATATATATATATATATATATATATATATATATATATATATATATATATATATATTATATATATATATACACACACACACACATACACACACACACACACACACACACACACACACACACACACACACACATATATATATATATATACATTGAGTATATATATATTCATTGAGTATATATAAACAATAACATATATAATATAGTCTATATATATACAATAAACTAAACTATTGTCCTAATAATAGCATCGGTTACAAATAGAAGCTGTGGCTCTTATTTGGTCAAATAAGTGGCTATTATTAAAAACTATTTGAAATCTGAGAGTTTAGGTTATATTTATGCTTCTGTCTATCATATATTGACCAACAAAACAGTTTACATAATAATAAAAACTCAAAGTTGGTTGATAAAACCAAATATTACTGACGGTATAAAGTATTTACTTAAATTAACATTGACAAAAAAAAGACTTCTTAAAAATCAAGACTGAATGAAACATTTATAAACATTAGAACAAAACATAGATATATTAAAGAAACACAAAATTGTATTAATCAACCAGATAAATGCTATGCTAAATAAGTAAATGCAATAAAATTGTACTCAAATTCTACTCTTAAAAAGTAAGAAGGTAAAAAGTAGTAGAGGGCTTAAGATAGAATGCTGTGGAGTACTGGTAAGCACTTGCTTTTTCAAAAAAATTACATCTCTACAAATAACACGGATTGACTACATTAAAGTAGATGAAACCCACTCAAATTAGTTATTCATATTTCCAAACAATTTTAATTTACTCAATATGCGGTATTATATGCGGTAGTGGTGTAGCGGTAGAGCGCTCGCTTCATAAACGAGTGGTTCCGAGTTCGATCCCCACCACGTCCCTGGTAGTACCGCGCTCAACTCGTTTCTCCGCGCAGCGGCCTTGTTCGTCAAGGTTCGTGTTTCGGAGTTATAGAGTTGAGAGAGGGTTATAGCCACGAATAAGTAGCCTCCTCGTCTGTAGTGGCCTTCTCGGCCTTGAGGAGGTGAATTAAAATAAAAAAAAAAAAAAAAAAAAAAAATACAATAAATAGTTAGTAAATAGTAATGTAATTAGTAAATGTTGTTATTGTGTTAAATGCTCTAGAGAAGTTTTTAAAAATTGTTTCAAGTTTCTTGTCAAAATTTTTTTATTAACAAAGCAAAATAAACATTTAACTTCATTTCCAAGTTGTAATATTACACACTTAAAATTACACACTTAAATACTGGATACAAATTAGCATGTAATCAAATTTCAGACATGAAAGGATATCCTACTTACCTTATAAAAAATGCATAAAGTAATATGAAATGGTTTCGTAAAAAGAGAACAAGAGTTTCTCCTCAGCCTGAGGGAGGTAAAGAAAAGAAAATATTTAAATTCATTGTTTGTTCTTTCACTTGCATGAAGGGTTTTTCTACTTTACATTAAAAGATTATGAATTTAAAATAACTTTAGAAAGTAATAATTAATATAAAACTGAAAAAGTACTTAAACTTTATTTCTGAACATTTAAAAACACAGAAGTAATAAATATATAAAAAAATTTGAGAAAATGAGCAATTATGGAGATATGAGAAAATAAGAGAATGTAATAAGAAAAAGTAATAAGTTATTGAGGCTTGTAGAAAGAATCGGTTCAATATTTTTTTAAATTACATTTTTAGCAATGACCACCAGATGCAACTTTCTTTTGATTTGGATCATACAGAGGAAGGAGGAATCTCTATCAATATACTTCCTTTAATTATCAATAAAATAATGGATAAAAATGGCGAAAGAGTTAGGTAAGTTTAATGATGTTTTGCTGTTTTAATTTGTCTTCCCTTAAAATATCTTTTTCTAAAATAAAATTTTTCTAAAATATTATTATAATGACTGTATTGTTGTTGGTGTCGGTGTCTTCTTGTTGGTGTGCTAATTCTTGCTGAATCTTGATATGGTATTTCATAAATACACTGTATACTTACTTATGGTATTTTATAAATTGACTGTATAAATTTACTTATTTCATAAATGCACTGTATATTTACTTTTGTTTCACATTCAATCTGTATGGTTTATTTTTTTCTTGTTAATTGTTACAACAGCTCGCAAGCAAAAACAAAAAATAAGCTCATTTATTTACATTCTCATTTTCGTTTGATACAAGTTTGTGAAAAGAAACAAAATGGTAGTTTGGATGGTATTGATGCTTTACTAGGTAACAATAATCAGATTTTTTTTAAAAAACCACCATCAGAACAGCTCTTATTATTAAAATTTTTTAGGCTGTCCATTGGTTCTTTTCGATGAGCGTACACTAGAAACATTTCCAATTATGAATGAACAAGATAGAATTGTTGTGTGCTCTACATTTATAAATGCTATTAACTGGTTACGTGAGGTTGTTTTAATAAGTTTTCATAATTTTTAATATTAAAGTCTATGCTGCTTATATTGGGTTGTTTTAATATGCTTTAGTGTTATAGTCTTAAATGTTTATGGAGGTTTAATATGCTATTATTATATTATTATTTTTGTTATTATTATTGCTACTATTATTATTGTTGTTATTGTTGTTGTTGTTGTTATTATTATTATTATTATTATTATTATTATTATTATTATTATTATTATTATTATTATTATTATTATTATTATTACTATTACTATTATTATTTTTATTATTACTATTATTGCTATTGTTATATTAGTTATAATTATAGTTTATTATATTAATATATAGTATATAGGGATTTTTAAAATAAGTCATCAATTTTTTTCAAAATTTCATAGTTGTTTAAATTAATCTAAAAAATATACAAATAAAAAAAGAAGAAAAAAGTTTATTTTGTTGTAATAGATCTCTTTCATTTTTTTTTTTAATATATATCTAGACATTTTTTATCTTCAGCTCCACCACAGTTTAGGACTTCTTTTTTTTTTAATTTTTGCAAAAATTTCTCTCTTAACCCTAATTTTTGCAACTCTCTCTCAACCCTAAATTTTGCAACTCTCTCTCTCAACCCTAAATTTTGCAACTCTCTCTCTCAACCCTAAATTTTGCAACTCTCTCTCTCAACCCTAAAAACTCTCTCTCTCAACCCTAAAAACTCTCTCTCTCAACCCTAAAAACTCTCTCTCTCAACCCTAAAAACTCTCTCTCTCAACCCTAAATTCTAAAATAAAAATCTAAATTCTAAAATAAAAATACAAAACTTGTTTAAAACACGAAACTTGTTCAAGACACAAAAGTTATTGATTAACTTTTTTGTTTAAAAGAAAAATTGAGAAAGACGATAAAGGAGCGTCAAAGGAATATTATTTGTTTGCTTTGTATTATGACATGATTGTCTTTTTTATTTGAATAATGTCATTTATTATGAACCCTTAATAATTTTTATGACTAAATATTTGCGTGTGTTTGTGTGGTGTGTGCGTGTGCAACCCTCGAAATTAGGGTCGGCATTCAGCAATGCTGACCTAACTGCCAACCTGAAAGTGTTTGAGGCCGGCAAAAATTGTCGACCTTATTTCTATGTTTTATAGTCAGATCTTTGTATCAAATAATTTTTGCCGACTTGATGCCAACCTCAAAAACATTGAGGTCGGAAAAAAATTGCCGACCTCATTTTTCCTAATTCCAAGGGTTGGTGTTTGTTTATGAATGTGCGTGCGTGTGCGCGCGTGTGTGTGTGTGTGTGTGTGTGTGTGTGTGTGTGTGTGTATGACAGGTTTCTATTTGTGAGTATTGTTTAAAAGTATTTTTGTTTATTTATTGTTACTTTTAATGATTCATTTATAGACAGTACTTTTATTGTTTTTATTATGATTATTGCTGTTAAGATTATTATATTTATAAATTTTTTTTTGCAGTTTTTTTTTATTTCATGGAAGATTGTTACGTTTTGCAAAATATAACTGTTGTAATTTTCCTGTCTGTGCATAATATTTGATTGTTGTTTTGAAAATAATATTGGTTTATTATTTTATAATTATCTTATTATGGTTATAATTGTTAATTTGTCATCATTATTTTTTGTATCATTCCAGTGGTGCCACTAGGAGGGTGGGTTTTGCACCCAGTGACACCATTAGAGGGGTGATACCAAAATGAATAAAAAGCAATTATGCCAACATTTTTTTGTAGACAAACCTTTTTTTTTTTAAAGAAATTTCTAGATGTAGAGGACTTATTTTAGTTTCATTCTTCACCTGTAAGTATAGAAGGGTGACACCAAAAGTTTATTGTTCCTGGTGACACCAACCTCAGCGACACCACTTTTTTTTTTTCACCACGTTTTAACTATTTGTAAATGGCATTAATTGTAAGATCCTTTATTTAAATATATTGGTTGATTGATTAAATAAGGTTGTTGTGTGAAGAAATGAGGTTGAACTTAGTGGTGAGTTCAAATCTCTAAATTGTGAGCTAAGTTTTCCAACACTAGTCTACTATTGCATTCAGCCACCTCCCTTCCCATCATCCCCTCTCCTCTCCTTGCCCCCTAAAATAAAAACAAACAAATAACACAAAAAGCAAAAAAATAATAATAAATAAAGGTAAAAAAGAGCAGGTTTTAAATTTTTCATGATTCAACTTCTTAAGTACATGTCGATACCTTAATATTCAAAAACTGTTCAAAATTGTTACATTTAAATAGCAGAGAAAAACTGCATATTTTTGGTACAGTTTCAATATGAGTTTTTTTTGAAATGTGACATTTGTCAATGATCTTGATCTATGAAATTTGATTGTTTGAGTAAGGTACCATCACTCTTGAGTAAAGTACCACCTAGGCACTCTGTAAACCTTAAATTTATAAATTACTTATACAAATATTAAATAGATGTCAAATGGATGTTTTGCTGAAAAATGATTTTTTTTTTTTTTTAGATTCTGGGAACAGTGAAAGTACAATGATTTTAGAGCACCAATCCCAAATAAATGAGTAAATTAAAAAAATTGAAAAATATTTTTGTAGTAAAGCATGATATTGAAAAAAATGAGAAACCGCTTTCAAAATTACAAAATTTTCAAAAATTGAAACATTGAGAGAAAAACAATGAAAGTATTTTAATCAAGTAATGATAGCAGTTGTCAAAAACATAAAAATGTCATCAAAGCAAATTAAAAATTGGAAATAAATCTTGCACATTCATGAAGAAAATCCATCATAGAACTACAAGCGAGTCTCAAAAATTATTAGAATTAGTATATCTACTGTTATAAAAAGATATAAGAAGACTTTATCCATCAAACAAGCTAATTGATCAGGAAGAAATTTTTTTTTAACAAATTAGTGGTAAAAAAATTATTTTTACAAAAGAAATGCTTATCTAATAGAGAAAGAGCTTAAAAAAACAAAGTTTTTGATTTTTTGGTAAGAAAAGTGAAGAAATACAACAATTACTTACACCGAAGTGCAAACTTACACCCAAGTTTTGAAAAAATTTATTGGCTGCATTTTGATAGTAGAAGAGACTTAAAATATGACTTTAGTCACCTTCTTGGTGACAAATGTTATACTTTAATTTTTCATGGCGGTGTAAGCAACTAGTATAAATACAAATTTGCGGACAAATATGGCAGAAAACTTTTTTTTAAGGCAAGCATGTTTTTAATCTGACTTTGTGGCGCTAAGCTAGGAAAACATAGGTATAAATTGAGAAAGGTTAATTTTGTACCAAAAAAGCTTAATCCACCAAATTTTTTAGTCCTTCAGATATTGGCTAAGGTTATTTGCATAAAACCTATTAATTTAGTACTCATTAGTTCAAGATTTGCTGTCAAAATGACCTTTATGGTCAACCATAAGCATGAAAATGATAATAAAAGTAGTGCAGAAGTTAATGGGCACCATCACAAGTAATTTACGATTATTTTTTTTACAGCATGTATGCATGTATGTTTATACATAAACATCATCATGATCAGCATGGTAATAATGATGATGATCATCATCATCATCAACAATCTCATTAAGTTCTAGCCTTCCTCTTTTATGCTGTTTCTCTAATATAAACAATCTCAAGCATTTTATTTACTTAACTAATGCTTGTTGCATTAATAATACTAATGCATATGTAATGCACTCTCTCCAAGTTTTCTTACTTCTACCTCTATCATTTTCTCCTGAAGCTGCTGAAGTCCTTCTGGAATTGCTACAAGTATTCAATGCTTGACACTGCTGTCTCTGGCTATGCTCTCAGTTAAAAGTTTTTTATGTGATTGCAACTGCGAATCACAGTGAGAATCTAGCTTAATGACACCAAGCGACACTTTAAGAAATCTTTTTTCATTTCCTAGTGACACACTATCTGTTAATGTTTGATGCTAATTTTTTCATGCTTTGACTTGACAGTCCTATATTTAGCTGAACTTGTATAAGATCTTCAGTTTTAATTCTTGGTTCAAGTAATAAAATACTTGAGCTTCTTAAAAAAAGAAGCATTTTTAAATATCTTTTTGTTTAAATTCAAGTTTCACAATAAATACCTGTCTTAACCTTGAGAGGTTGACTTTTGGTTGTGATTTTTTGAAAGGATTTAAAGGTTTAAAAGAGATTACTTGAGTTGCTATTTGTTCTGCAGCCAGTGGATCTGCTGTAGCTAGTTGTTTGAGGTTTTCCCTAAATGTGAATTAAAGACACTGATGTGGCAGACATTTTCCAACAAGACTCAAGCAATTACCACATCGTTAGGGAGTATTGCCTTTCTCAGGTTTTGAAGAGTCAAAAAGGGTTCTTTTCATTCAGCTTTAAAAGTCCAGCTTGGCAAATAATACAGTTGCAATCTTGATCTCTTGTTGTTAGCTTGACTTTTATCGATAAGAAAGCAAACAAAGGTGGAAGAGTAACAACTTTTCTTTTATCTTTTCTCCTTCATCTTCCTCCAACATCATTTCTTGACATCGGTCGCTGATCCCTCTTGGCAATCTTCTTTTTTTGTGACATTTTGAAAAGTTTGTCAACACACTTGACAAATTCTTTGTCTTGAACTGTACATTGCCAATTTCTGGAATTTATTTGACTAGTACAAGTAGTTTTAGCAGTTTGGATGCGCAAAAAGATTTTTGTTTGATGAAACTTAAAAATTTTAGGTAAAAATTTTGATTTGACTAAAAATTTGTTGTTATTATTTATATTTGAATGATTAGAGTAAAAAAATTGGATGCTGTAAAAATGCAAAATTTAAAAAGGTGTCATTTCGTCCTATTGTAAATTGTCATTTTACCCTATTGCAAAAATGGTTACAACTTATAATCAAGTTTATTTTCTTGGACGAGATAGCTAAATTTCAAATTTTACATTTTTGGATTCAGGAAGCATTATACTTTCACTCAGTCAAAGTAGTTTTCTTGGGTAGTAAAAAATTGTTTGTAGTAAGTTTTAAAGTATTTTTGGGTCATTTTGTATAATGGTTTATTACTAGCTTTTCAAGACCTTTTTCTTCTCTTTTCTTTTTATCTATTTAATCTCCAGGGTAACATTTTACGAAACAAAGAAATCCATAAGTATCGTCCAGTTATTATTATTTTATCATCCAATTTCTTTTCCATGTTACATTCAAAATTAACTTTACTGTCTGAAGATCTTCAAACCCTAAATTTAAATCAAAGTGATTTCAAGCAACTAACTTGTTAAAATCTGAAAACAATATTTCTTTCTGTTTCAAACTGATTTGACCTATGGGAACTTTGGAACCTTTATATCTTACAAAAATGTTCGCATTATTTATGAAGAAAGCTTTATAATTTTATTTAGTAGAAAATAGCATTTTTTTCCCAGTTTATATTTCATTACCTAAATATATATTATTCAGAATGTTGACCCCTAATGTACCCAGAACTTAAACAAAGTTTTTTTGCAAAGGAGATATTATTAAGAAATATTTAAGTTTTAAATTACATTAATACTAATAATATTTAAACTGGCATAATTTATTAAATACTTTTATATCTGTATTTAAGAGTGAATTTACCAAATTCTTTGATTCTTTTTCAGGGGAGCATTCCCATTAAAAGGAATCAAAGAATCTTTACCAATACCTGTAAACTTTTTTTACACATTTTTAAGGAAGCAGCATTGGACTCTTGCAATGACCTATTTTCCTTAAAATTATTACATTTCTGTAATTTTTTTTATTCTGTGTTTATTTTTATTTAAAGATCTATTTCATAATGAACTTAATTCAAATTAATTTTAATAAGTAAACATAATATATAGATTTTATTAATTGCCAATTTACAAATTGTGTATTTTTTGCAGCTCTTACTGAAGTAGAAATCACTTATAGGTTCTTTGCTCCATTTCTATTTAACTGATGTTGGAAGAGGTTTTTCAGCTTTAGTAAGATACAGATTTACATGTATAACAAAATAAAATATTGTACTTAGGTACTTCATAGCCTTAACATTTTAGTCACTGTGACAATGCTTTACTAGTATACACTTGGTATATGAACCATATACTGGTATATGAACCATATACTGGTATATGAACCATATACTGGTATATGAACCATATACTGGTATATGAACCATATACTGGTATATGAACCGTTCATATTGGTATATGAACCATATACTGGTTTATGAACCATATACTGGTATATGAACCATATACTGGTATATACACCAAGTGTATACCAGTACTAGTAAGTAGTACTAAGAAAAAATCTTCCTGCTGGAGATGATAGGAACAGTGATGAGGGAAACAAAACTGCATGTCTAAAGAGTGGAGTTCATGGAGTTCAATAAGAAGAATGGGTGTACTGTGACAATTTAAATGACTTTCCACTAATTTTGTACTTATAACTTCCAGATTTCATAAAGTATATACATATTTACTTGTATACACTTGGTATTTTTAGTTCAGCAACAAGAAAATTGAAAAGTCAATCAGTTTATGATATCTTTTAAAATGAAATTCACTTTTTTTCAAGTATCAACAGTAAATTTATATATAAATTATAATTAAATAAATTTAAATTTTAGACTGTTAACTTACTTGAATCTAATTAATTATCACCTTATAATTAGTATTGCTAACTTAATCTGAATTCTTGTAATAAAAGTTCATTTACTTTAAGATTTTACCAAAATATTTTTCAGTTTATGAGATTTGTCTTATGTTTGACAAAACATTCTCATTTAACATTAGTAAAAATATGTATAAGGTCAAGGTTTGTAGTGTGTCTAGAAGGTACTTTACTTCCATCTATTTACTTTATGTGCCATCTTTAAGATTATAATTTTTATAATTTTGTGTACCTTAAAGGTATCTTAAATAGAATCTATAAGAATTTTGGGAATATTACAAGATCAAACTCAAATGGTCAATTTTTAACCTGTGTATATAAAATCATTTTTTTTTATTTTTTAATTTCAATTTTTTTAAATTTAGGTCATAAACGCTTTCACTATTGAGTCTGCCAGTTATGAAACACAAGTAAAGATTGTAAGTCGCTTGAAGACTCTAGTAGCGTTAACAGAGACTTTGCAGTTGCATTTAGTTAGTAAGTTTCATTTTAAAAAATACTAATAAAAGTTGTTTTAAAAAAGTAATACATATGTAATTATCTGTTTAATAAGTGATACTTATTTTTTGACATATCTTAATGATAAATGTTAATTTTTAAGAAAAAGACTGATAAATTTAAGAACATTGAAAAAACAAATTAAAAAACAAGAAAAAAATTAAATTAAAAGGTTGATAAGTATAAATATAAAAATAAAATAACAATAGTTAAATAATAGAATTACCATAAAGAAGAAAAGACTTTTTAAAGTTTTAACAATTTTTTTATTTTTTAAATTTTGTTGGTTGTTTGTTTGTGTTGTTTTTATTTTGATTTATTTTAATTTTTTTTTGTTGTTTTATTAATATTGTTTTTTAGTTGTTTATTTTAAAAATTTATAACCTTACTATATATTATTATATCAGATGTCATTAATATCAAGTGTTTACTTCAGATTTGTTTATTTCTAAATGATCTCACACTTTTTTCAAAAGTTATATGTTGATTGATTGTCACAAAAAAAATAAAAAATGGTACTTACTACCAAATAAATATCCATTAATTAAATTTAGCACTGTATAACTGGCAACTAGGTTAAAGATGACACAAAATCAACAACAAAATTTAAAAAGGATGTGGTTTCTGAAACACAAAGTGAACTCTCAAATAATCTCACTGCTGTTCTTTCTTACAATTGTTTAAGATATTGTAGTTAAAATTGAATTAGCAAAAAACTATAAAAGGAAAATTTCTATTAATAAAAAAAATATTTTTTCTTCAATAGAATAAGAAGGAAATTTATTATAAAACCATATATAGTATCTTTTTTATAAACATGGTTAAAAAATTTTTAAATCATTTTATGCATCCATTATGCATTCATGTAACAACCACATGAAACAATAATTAAATAATTTTTTAATTTTTTTTCCCCGTTTGTGTATATAAATATAGGGTTTGACTGGCACATTTTTTCACTTTGTTTTGTCTATTGTGACCAATGAATAAGAAGCAGTGTATTTATCAATAACATTCAATTTGGTTATAAGCCAGATTTAGTATTTATTGTAAGGCAATAATTTCGAAAAAAGTATTAAAAAAATTTTTTTTTTCTTGAAATATACCTTGAAAATGTTTTTAACATATTACCAAGAAAGGCAGTTTGTTAGACTTTAAGGTTTTGAAGAATGATTAATACCAGTTATCTAAGCTAAGTATAAAAATGTCATTACAGCAATTAAAACAGTGACAAATTTTAAGCAAAGATTGGTATGCATCAGAGTTCATTTTTCAGTTATTTGCTTTTTTTTTAAATTCTTTTGGAGGTTTTCCTTAAACAGATCATTATTGGTTCATATTGGTTAAACTTTAAAAGTTTTGAAGTTATTCCAAGTTTATGAATTTACAGTTAAATACTTGTAATTTTGTAGCTAATGAAAAAAGTATAATAATAAAAAAAATTTTTATTGTTTTTAGGTTAGTAACACATGCACACACATTTTTATATACACTTATATATTTATATATATTCATGTATTTTGTTATTTTTCACAAAACAGTTACTCCTAACTTTAAACTTCCACTGGTAGACTACAGCATTGATGATGATCTTTTGTCTAGTATAAAGCCAATCAAGGTTTTAGCTGATGCAAAACTATTCAAAAAACCTAAAAAAAGGTATTTTATATATATATATATTTTGTTATTATTGTTATTATTATTTAGATATATTTTTGTTTCTGTTTTTATTATTGCATGCTTTGTTTTTTACTTTTACTTAGAATAAAACTTCTAAAGTTTATTTCAACTTTAAAAGTAAATACAAAAAATAAATATTTAACATTGCAATTGCCTTTTTCTTTTTTCTTTTTTTTTTGTCCTTTTTGTCATAAATGTTTATTGCAAATTATAAACATTGAGTTTTATGAAGTGTAACTTCATAAAACTCAAAGTTTTATGATTTCTTCATAAATTATAGTTAATTGGTTACAAATTAAAAAGAATTACAAAAATAAAGTTAATGTGATTTCACTCAATAATAAATCAAACTAAACGTAAAGCTTTCTTGAAGTAACTGATGAAAAAAATGTTTGGAATAAATTTTTTTGATTAAAACAAAAGAATAAATGCATACCATAAAAAACTAATTTTTTTATTTTAGTCGAAATTTGCCTTTTCTGTTTTGTTGAAGGCTAAAAGTCAGCATAATATAAGCCACAATCCACAGACTTGATAATTTATTCAGCATGTTTTATTTCTAAGAGTATTAGTACATGATGTCATTGATTTTTTTGTTTGTGTAAAAGATGGATTATGTAAACAAAAAAATCAATGACATCATGTGCTCTTAGGTATAAAATGCGCTTGAATAAATTATAAACTCTTAGGTATAAAATGCGCTTGAATAAATTATAAAGTCTGTAGATTCGGGCATATATTTTTCTTACAATTTGGCGTTCAACAAAACAAAGAAGGCAAACTTCAACTAAAATAAATATTTTTTTGTTTTAAAAAAAATTAGCCAAAACATTTTTTTTAATCATTTTTTTTAATATGAACACAACATGTCTTGGAGGTTTGGGATTCCTTTAACCTTAAATTCAAATAAAGTGCCAATCAGATGTTTCATCAAAAAATTCAAGATAAAGGAGAAAAAAATTTTGAAACAGAAAATGATTCACAATCTAAAATTGTTTCTTCAACTCTTCCAACAAACATTTTTGATGACCCTAAATTTGTTGCAGCAGTTAATTGAGCTAAAATATTCAATAACTAAGCAACATTTATTCTTGTCCCACCAGAGTATTCAGTTCTTCACTAGGATAGGAAAAATCTTGTAAATACTGAAGATAAACTAATAGACAGATTTGCTATTAAATTTTCAGGAAACACCATGGACTGTCTACAAGAAAGGATTCTTGGAATTCAAAACTTTAAATCAAGAACAGATGACTCTTAAACAAATGAATGCATTTGTTTAAGAGTCTAGCATTTAAAACAACAGTGGAATGTTAAAATAACAATTATTGGTACAATTAGATGGCAATAAACACTAGATTTATTTAAAGCACTGCAAGTGCTTATCAGAGTCTTGTTTTCCAGCCTGCTTGGAAGCGGCATCTGTTTTTCAAAAATTCTGAGGAGAAATCTAACTCATCTAACTACCATCTCATTAGTCTTCTTCCTATCATAAGCAAGGTTTTTGTGTCTTTAATTAAGAAACACTTAATCTCTCATCTTAAATCTAATAACTTACTTTCTGATCATCAATATGGCTTTTGATTTTTTTGTTCTACTGCTGATTTGTTATCGGTAGTAACTGATTGATTTTATTGTGCATTAGATAGATGTAGTGAGGCTAAAGCTATGACTCTCGACATTTGTAAAGTCTTTGATCAAGTTTGGCATGCTGGTCTTGTCCATAAACTCTCTTCTTTTGGTATATCAGTTAACATCTTTAAGATTATTAAATCCTTCTTTACCAATTAGTATAATTTTTTTTCATTGGTTGTATTAATATATTTTTCATTGTTTGAATTTTGTTTGCAACATGTAATGATTTCAAAAAAAGATTTTCGTTTTCGCATTTAACTTAAAATAAGTTTTAAAAATGACAAAAGAAGGTGTTAAAAAAAATATTTTGCACAAATTTATGGAAAATCTGAACTTAGCTACAACTCAGTAGCAAAAAAGTTGCCAATACATTTCTGTATCATTAGTCATGTTGTTTAACGTTTTTTCTAAACAAAATCAATCAAATGCAATTTTGGTAATGATGGAAAGGAGGCTTTTAAGATATAAAACTAGTTAAAAAACAGTTTTTATAAATAATCCACGCCTCCTGCTAAAGAATTGCACAAAATATGAGGATTTTCTCATGCTTTGCCAGAAAAATTTTTATATAAACATGTTTTTCAAGTATTCATATCACAAAAAGTACCAAAATGTTCTGAAATTCAAAAAAAAAAGCAAGAACCCATTGAAGAAAGTTAAATGACAAATATGTTTCTTAAAATTTCTGAATTATTGAAGATGATGAAACTTATATGAAGTATGATCACCAGCAAATTCTTGGTGCTGTCTATTATAATTCCAAATAAAGAGGAAAAGCAGATAAGAAATTTTAATACGCAAAAAATGACAAGTTTGCTAAAAAAACTTTGAATTGGCAAGTTATTTGCAGGGTTTTTTTTTTTTTTTTTTGTAATTCACCTCTCTAAGGCCGAGAAATTCACCTCCCTAAGGCTACTTAATTGTAGTTACCTAATTGGAGGAGGCTACTTAATTGTAGTTACCTAATTGTAATTACCTGCTTAATTGTAGTTACCTATATTTCATAGTCCACACTTTTTGATAAAATATATGTTAAAGTGTGTTAGCAAAAACTTCTGCTCTGACATGTCTCTGACCTGATTTATGATCAAGTTATTATAACAAACTGCCTATGGGGTGATTTAAAAAAAAAATGACCTGAAAGTTGTCTAAAATACTAAATCCTCTAAACTGCCCAGTATTAACAAGTATTGCAAATTGCTGGGTAATTATTAGACTAAAATAAAAATTAAAAAATAAAAAAAGTTCAACTGGGTATAAATGAATAAAATGGGGTCAAATGGAATAGTTAAGGACTTTAATTATCAATTTTTTTCGGAAAAAAGATTTTTCCTTTTTTTTTTTTAAAGTTGTAGAGAGTTGTAGAATTTTTTTGTAAAGTTTTTTATGAAACTTTATTTGATTAAAAAAAACTTTACACTTGAATTGGTTTGCAGCTAATATTTTCGTTGGACTTGTTGTTTGGTTTATTTGATAAATTATTTTTAATAATCTATCAAATAATCTATCAAAATAGATTTTACTAGATTTGGTGATGGCACTATCATAGATTTTGGTTGTTGAGATGATGAAGGCTCAGGATCAGATCTTGGTGTTTCAAATGTATTAGAAATTTGCAACTTTGACTGATCGATTTTATTGATGTTTAGTGAAAACAAGCGAGTATTCTGAAACCCAGTGACTATCTGGATACGTGTAAAAACTTCACCAGAGCTGAAAAGTTTTTTTTGCGTAACTAAGAGTAACTAGCAAATTTTATTCATTTATTAGAACCATGTTATAAAAGTAGTATATAAAAATCATTTAAATTCAGTCAGAAAAATTCGTTCTTTGAAATTTATACAAAAAATATATAGTTGAAGATTAATTGGTCACTTGAGACCTAATAAAAAAAGCCCCTTTTAAGAAATAAGCTAGTGCTTCGTATTTATTTATTTAATAGCGTATTTCATTCAACCCCGCAAAACTTTGTTTCCGTTTTTAATTCATGACTTTTTTTCCTAAATAGCAAATTTAATTTTGAAAAAAGATTCTTGATCAGCATAAAAAGTTGTACAAATAAACATTTTAAGTTCAATGATACCGAATTTAATTTCCGAGAGTTCACTTTTCAAACAAATAAAACAAATCTTGTTACGCATTCAAAAACATAAAATTATAACAAAATTTTTTTTATTAAAAATAAAATTTTATACGATCTTACTTAGAATAGTATTCTCTACAATATAATCAAAAAATATTTACAAAAAAGTTATTCAATAGTTGATTAAAAGCAAAAGAATAAACATTGTCATAACTATTTTGCTCTACCCACAATTTCATTTTACCCTGTTTTACTCTATATAATATAAACTGGGTTATTTGACAAAAAATAATTAAAAAAAAAAAAAAAAAACTATGCAGAAACATAAAAGATTAAAACTTAAGAAATAAAAGAATAAAACTTTATTTTATTAAAAATTTTTTATTCCATTCTACACTGACATTCGGGGAGAATAAAATATAATATAAACTGGGTTATTTATTTGACAAAAAATAATTAAAAAAAAAAAAAAAACTATGCAGAAACATAAAAGATTTGAAAATGTTATTTAAAAAACATCAAATAGTCTTGATTGTTGTTCTGTGCGCAAGCCTATGTTTACCACCAAAACATAAGTTAGAAATTTTATTAGACTATTATTTTATCTTATTTTATTGTTTATGTATATCTAGTAAAATCTGCCCTATGAGCAAATCTCAAGCAACTGTTTAAAAACTAATATCTATGTGTCACCATGAGAACAAGTTTTTGCTGGATAACCACAAATCTAATGATTAGATTTTTTTCACACATTTTTCTCTTGTACAGAATTATTTTTCCACG